ATGTGCGCATCGAGGGCCAGCGCCCGGGCCTCAATCAGCGGAATACGCGTCGTAAGGTACTTGATCTTGTCGCGATGAGCACGAGCAGTAACCGGTCCGCCGTAGCTCATGTCGAGCTCAAGAAGTGACGACAACGGGATGTCGTCAGGTGTGCGCACGGCACCGAGAGCTGGATGCGACGTCCAATCACGCCACGTCATGCGCTTCAAGCCGAGTTGTCGGCGGCACACGTTGAAGACGTCGCGCCGGGGTTGCCCCGTGAGAAGCATTTCTCGTAGATCCGACTGCGCAGCCTCCTCCGTTTCGCGACGACGCCCCGGGTACTAGTTGCCATTCGGTTGGTACACCCACGCACGAAAGAGGCCCGATTTGGCCTCTCTCCTAATCGACCCCCTCGCGGATGGCGCAGCCTTCGGTGGAGTCTCAATATTGGGCGGCGAGGCAGCGGCCTCGTCGCCTGGCAACACCCACGCGGCTCCAAACAGAACGCTGCCGGCGAGCAGGGCTTCGTCGCGGCTGTCCTCGTACGGCCCGTACTTGGCCTTCATCTTACCGCGCTTCACTTCCTTGACGTGGGGTCGGTACTTGCGTTTGGACGAGCAGTACGTGACACCACATTTGGCGCTCATCGTCGCGGCGCGAAGTGTGCAATTTCAAATAATACATCCGGTTTCTTATCCGGTAATTATGTATAGAAGAGGCTAAATGTCGTAAATTTGGCAGTCGCACTGGCTCAAATCTTCGAACTGTGCTGCAGCATCCCTTGCACCTCTCGTGAGGCATAGCGCACCGTATTATGTAAGTGTAGTACTGCGTGACAAGGCAAACGTTCTTATGTATAGAATCTTGCTGGTCACCCTCCCAATTTCGATTTATATAGGATTTGAGCACCGACACCGTGCAAAGGACCCCTAGCCCGCTGTGACTAATATTGTCAATACACTAGACATGTAGAGAAAATATCATTTAGTCACTACACCAATTTTCAGCTCTCAACTCGTTGCAGGGAAAAAGTTCCAAAAGTTGGGAGATTTGGCCTTCTCCTCGCCGTTCCAGCTTGTACTAGTATCACGATGCTGTTCCCGCCCAACCTCATCCAGCTCATCGCGGTCCATGTGCGCGACGAACGCGACTTGCTCGCACTCCTTACCGCACTCCCGCCAACGCTTCTCTCGGACCCGCTGCTTGCGTTGCGCGATCTACTTGGCGCTCGCAAGGCAGGACACCTCAGTCTGCACACGTGCTTGTGGCCCAAGCTCAAGCCCATGGATTGCCGCACGCCTAGGATCGACGACGCCTTGGTCCGGTGCCTTCCACTGTACGCGACCCTCGTGCTGTACAACTCGAGCAACTCTGCCGATATCACGACGACGCTGCCGTCGACACTCGCGATCAAGTGGAAGATGCGCCTCTCGGCGCTGACCACGCCCGAGATGGCACCGTACGCGCCGCACTTGGGCCACGTGCAATTGTTTGTCGCCAACGACGATGCGCCAACGAGCGAAATGGTCGAGGCCATTGCGTCGCTGCCTCGCTTGACGTCGCTGGATCTTTTGTGGGACGCACCGACGCCCAGCGATCTCCTCTTCCTGCTGCGGGGCATCCTCGCATCCCCATCCATCCGAGCCGTGCAACTGCGTATGGGCCGCGACACTACAGCGTTCGATGGTCCGTGCGTCATGGCACTCACGCAGCTCCTCACGTCCAAGCTGCACACGCTTGCGTTGGTCGGTGTCTCGCTGCCCGCGTCGCTGACGGCGCCCTTTGTGCAAGGCGCTCGGTCGAGTCGCACGCTGCGCGCGTTGACACTGCAAAACTGCAGTCTCTGCAATGACATTGCATTGCCGCAAGGTGTGCCGTGGCCACGCTTGCTCACGTCCCTCCACCTCGAGGTCGCGGGCACCACCGACGTGGACGCGCTGGCGATGGCCCTCGCCGACACGTCGTCGCTGCAACGTCTGGACCTGTGCGCTGCCGTCGACGGGCGCATGTTGCCTCGTTCGTTTCTTGCACAGCTGGCGTCGCTCAAGCGCTTGCGGCACTTGGGCATCTCGGGTGTGTCGTTCGAGGCCCCCGACGCGCTGTGTGCGATCCTGCCACAGCTGCACTCGCTCCACCTCGATGCAAACGACCTCCAAGACGCTGGTCTCCGCGCCCTTGCACGTGCACTACCGTCCTGCGATCGCCTCGAGTCGCTGTCGTTGCGCGAACAAGGCGCCACGGACGCCAGTGTCCTCTTCGTCGCCGTCGCGTTGCAGCGCGCAGCTGCCCTCCGTGTGCTGGATCTCGAGCACAATGCAATTGCGTGCGTGGGGGCAATGGCCCTCTGCCGCATCGCGTTTCGCTTGAAGAAGCTCAAGCTCGGGTACAATAGTATCGGGCAGCGCGGCGCAGTGGCGCTGAGCCACGCGTTGGCATCCGCGGACCACCTCCAAGTCGATCTCAACCTCATGTTCAACCCACTCACGCGCGACGGGGTGCTGGCGCTTGTCGCCGCCATCGAGCGAGCGACGTGCCGGACGGGCGTTCTCTGTGTCTACGAATGCGCCGTCGGGACCGCGCTGGAGAAGCAGCAGTGCGCCGCAGCGATACGCGCCCTGACAAAGCCGCACATGGCGATCACTGGCATCACCGAGGGGATGGCCAACTAGAGAATGAATAAATCGTATCATATATTTGACTGCTTGCTCGATAAATGGAAATGGTTTCGCGACGCGTTGATGGGTGTAGCGCATCGAAACGTGACGAGATGTTTGGATCAAGGGCCCATACACTGTTTTTATGGACCCTTGTGTTGATGTACAGTGTGTAGTACCGGAATGTAGTACAAAATAATGCACCGTCAAAGTATTTTTTTGACACGTGAGCAAATTTTGGTCTCACGTCTTCACAGAAAAGGGTGCATTTACGCCAATAAATGTCCAGGGATGCCGCAAATCACCACATAAACCTCTGTTTCAATCACTAGCGACGTGTCGTGGGCCGTTGAAAAGGATCCCCGCGTTTTCCTATCAGTACTCTCAAAGGGCCAAGGGGCGACTCTTGCCGAAAATGACGTGGCAGCGTGAGCATCCAGTGATATTCCTCCACCTTCTAGTCCGTAAATAAATTGCAGGCTCTTGTGGGGAACCACCACTCGATCCATCGACGTCAACGATGTGACCATGTGTCCACAGCGCATGCTACTGCAGTACACCGATGAGAGTGCACGCTACACGCTTTTATGGACAAAGTTCTCTCGACACGACGCACCGTCCCCACATGAAATGCACAAGTTGTCATTACTCCATTGACACAAAACCACGCCGAGTAAAGTGTATCGTGCAGGATGGAGGATCCCTAAAACATAGCATCGGGCTCCTCAAACTGCAGCATCGACTGGTTCGGGAGGCGTGCGATCGCTTGCCGACACGCTGCCACGTCATTGGGCCGGTCGCGACCGACTGTGCCAATGACAACGACGGCGCCGCCTTGAAAAAACGGCGAGTGCGACAGGCCCGAGACGAGGGCGAGCACACCGCGGCGCTTGATGGACGTGTACATGAGTCCGACTTGGCGGAGGTGCCGCGCCTGGGGCAAGGCACGCGCGGAGGCCGACCGCGCCGTCAGCTCCAATCCCGTTGTCGTTCAAATCGATCGCGTCGAGCTGACCGAGCAGGCGGCTCAGTGCGATCGCGCCGTCCGAGCCAATCCGGTTCTCGCTCAGATCCAACGCGCGCAGCGAGGTGGGCGCGCCGTTGGCAATTGCAATCGCACTTCGGTCCGTGCACTTTTGGCTAATGAGATGCAGCGTCTGCAGGTGGTGGCAGGCCGGCAAGGCGGCCGCGAGCACGCTGACGCCGTCGTCCTTGAGCTTGTTTTCGTAGAGGTAGACCTGCTGCAGGCGCTGCAAGACGAGGCTGAGCGGCCGCCACGATTCTCTCGGCAGCGGAAACGAAAAGAGCTCGAGCGTGCGCAGCGACGTCAAGGTCGGAAGGGTTTCGCTAATGAAGCGCGTCGCGGCCAAGTCTTCGTCACGCTTGTGCTGGCCGGGAAAGAGCACGGAGAAGCGCAGTGTGTGCAGCGCCAGATGGGCCAGCGACGCCATCGCTCGGTCGAGGTCGACGCATGGGATGCTCCAGAGCTCGAGCGTGGTGAGCGACTTGGGAAAGGCGAGGCGGCGCTTGAAGAGCGATCGCGCCAACACGACGCTTCGCAGCACGAGCGTCTCGAGCGTCTCGCAGCGCGCGATCGCATCCAAGAGCGCAAGCACGCACGCTTCGTCGATGGCCTTGAGGTCGTGCACGGCCATCGACCGGACAGGCCGCGTTGTCAGCCATGGCTCAAGGAGCGCCGTCAGTGAGGCTGTCCAGTTGAGGCGCGAGTCGAACGAAAAGCGCAGGGCCAGCGACGTGATGGGCGTCGCCGTGATCGCCTGTAGCAGCGTCGCAAACGCCTCGTCGCTGCGCGTCGACGGCCAAAACACATCGATCGCCTCGAGCCGCGGAAGCGATGCAAGGCCGTGGGCCAGCGCCTCGATGGACCAAGCGCCATCGCGCAGGTCCAGCGACAAGGACGTGATCGCGTCCGGCCACTGCTGCAACGCAGTCATAAACGCTGTCGGCGACGAGAGATTGGTGAGCTCAAGACGCGTCGTGCGTGGCATCGCATATGGAAACCCAACGACCTGCAGCCGCAGCATCGGAAACAGCCCAAGACACGTCGCGATATGGTGCGCGAGGTCGTCGTCCACCGACGCGTTCGACAAGTCGAGCGTCGGCCAGAGGCGCACGTCGCCGGCGGTCGCGGCAAGCCGCCCAGCGCGCTGCGCCGCCATGAGCGCGAGAAGACTCGCGAGAGGCGGAGAGAGAAGACGCGGTGGCAAGGCCTCGAGGTACGCGCGCACGTCGGCCGGGCGGTCGAGGAAGATCGCAATGTGCTGCCACACGTCGCTCGGCGCCGCCAGAGGATCCATGGGTCGTCCTGCTGGCGTCAGCTCGGGTCGAAATATCAGAATATTCCTCATTCAAATATTGCGTGTCGAGGCGCACTTATATTGGATACCGTCTGTGAATATGGATACGATTTCCGCCAATGGGGTCGCGCGCCACCATGCTTTTTATCCAATCCACGGTCGCCTTGGGTCATTTTGAACCCTGCCGAGCTCTGCGACTCCTCCTCCTCGCCTCGACATCCATGCAAATGGTACTGGAGCCAAGTGCCGGAGTATCGCTGCGTGAGGACAGCAACGTAGACGGAGGTTGTCGTTGTTGTCGTCGTCTGTGGGCGATCGTACAGTACAATACAGTACATGTATTGCATCGCTCGGGCGCATGGATCGCTTCACCAACCCACTACCGTGGCACCTTGGCAACTCGACGTGGCAACGCGTCTGGGACGACGGCGAGTTGGCGTGCATGTCATTACCACGCCGCAAGCCAAATGGCCGCAAGCATGACGCTTCGGTCGCCTTGATTTTGCCAGCTTTCCAACGAGAGCCGCCGCACAGCGATACAGTGCGTCTGCTGCTTTCGCATGGGCGAATGATCCACTACCTTTATTTAGTAGTTGGTGGGCGCTGGTATCGTCCTGGTTGTCACGACCGGGGCAACCAGCTTGACCCGAAACGTGAATCTTTCGAATCTTGGTTCAACTTCAACAACGCACCTCTTTTTGAAGGTGCGCTTCTTTGGAGTATACCATTTGCGTCAAATCCGCACCGATTTACGCAATAGGTGCGCCTATACGAGACCATTGCGTTGGTTTCAGCAGTTTGCCATGCCCATCGAAGCCATCACGTCCGTCCTCATCGGCGCCTGTGTCGTCGCCGGTACCTTGCTCGATGCAGAAGGCAGTCGCGAGAGCAACCGCTTGCACTTGCGCGCGTACCGGTATGCACTTTGACCATGACGCGTCTGAGCCTCGACGCGTAGCTGGCAGCGGCTCGGCAACTGGCTGCCGCTTGGCATCGCCTACGCTGCGTTCTACATGGCGCGCTACAACGTTCGCTTGTCGCTGTCTCCATGCGTCGCTCCTCATGCGCTGGCTCTAGATTGCCGCAGGCAACGTCGCGGCCCTTCGCGCCCAGCTGCACTTGACGACCACCGACATGGGCTGGTACGAGAGTCTCGCAGCGCACGTGCTTAGCCCATGTAGGGTCATTTCGGCCGGTTCGTGGACGTACGCGCTCAGCGCTCCGCTCACGGGTACGGCGCCATCTCGACGCGTGTGCCATGTTCGTGGCATTAGGACACGTGACCGATCGCATTGGCGGGCAGCGCGGGATGGTGCTCGCGTGTGCTGGCGCCGGCGCATGCAACCTCCTCTTGGGCCTCGCGTTCTCGCACGGCCGCGTGTCCGAGGCCACGTTCTGCTTCCTCTTTGCTCTGAACCAAGGGTTCCAAGGCTTTGGCACGGCGGCCGTCGTCAAGATTAACGCCATGTGGTATGGACCCAGCGAACGCGGTCTCTTCTCGGGTAATGCCATCGACAATATTGTGCACAGGATCAAAAACGGTGCTAGGCATCTTTAACATGCTGGTCGTCAGCGGCTACTACCTCGCGCTCGGGTCGGGTGACTCGATCGTGGCGACGTTGGGGTGGCCGTACCTCTTTTACATTCCAAGCCTCTTGCTTGGCGCCATGGGCCTCGTGTCGCTGCTCTGGATCCGCAACAGCCCGCCGACGTCCGAAGCACCGTCGATGCCGTCGACGACGCCCTTTTGTGACACCCAGCACAGCGGCCTCCTCTCCCTTCTACGCAACCCGACCGTGTGGGGCTACCTCGGCGCGATCTTTTGCCTCTCGTGGGCCCGCGACGGTCTCCTCAACTGGATGTACTCGTACTTTGATGCGGTGCGCGCGTCGCCGTTATCGCCAAGTGACCATGCGCTCCTTGGTGGTGCGTGGACACTCGGCGGCTTCGTCGGCGGTGTCCTCTGCGGCTGGATCTCGGACCACCTCTTCCGCGGCCAGCGCATGCCACCGATCGTGCTCTTCTCGGCCATGCAAGGCATGGTTGTCTACGGCATGTACATGGCGGCACCCCACGTGTCGATGGCCGTGCTGGCACTTCTGCTCTTCGTCGCGAGTGTCTTTCTCCTCGGAAGCTACACGATGCTCAGTTATACGATTCCGACCGACTTGCCCGTCGAGATTGCGGCCAGCGCCGGCGGCCTCTTCACGACGGCCGCCTACATGGCCACCGGTCTCTCGGGTGTCGTCATGGGCGCCGTCGTGGGCGACTACGGCTATGACTTTTGGGTGGCCTCGCTCGTCTTGGCGTCGATCGCATCGGGCCTCTGCACGTACGTCGGCGCGCAGTATGCACGGTCGCATGCCAGTCTTGCATGCGAGACCGAGTGCACGCCACTGCAAACAAAAGCCGTCGATCGCCGGCGCGCGTCGCTTGTCAATACACAAGGCGACTTTATCGCCGTGCCGATCCTTGATAGTAGTACAAAGGAGGTCACCGAGACATAAGTCGCGTTGCTATCGCGCGCTAGGGACTTGCTAGCGTCGATGGGAATGCGTGAACTAATATATGACGACAACTATCGGTACCCTCTTTTGCTTGGAGAAATGCGTGGTGCTGCGATGCACTCTGGTGTCGCCACTGACGCCACATGGCGTTGGATCCATCGAGTAGCTTGGGACGCGTCGCCGGATTCGCTTGGCGGGTGTTTCGACCTTCGATATCACACACATCGGATTCACTCGTGCATCTCTGTACTGGCGCCTTCGGTAGCAAGAAGGCATGGTCGTCGTCGCTCGACCGTTCACCACCAGCACGCGTCGTACACGCACCGAGACGCTGTGCGAGATGATGCTGTGCGCCTCGAAGCGCCACCATCGCTGGCTACCACGGTGCGACCTTGGATTCTACGTTCTTAGAGGCAGTGGTGTCTTGTAGGCTGGATCGACCGGCCACGGTGGCCCCCATCGCCGTCGCGATCATGACGATTCAAGTCGTCCGCGCTTGTGTACACCTCGTCTTGTAGTCCCATCGAATGCGAGCCAAGGTGTCTTGTCTAGCTCGGGTCGCTGCCCACTGACGCAACCAAGGTGGTTGTCCCGTCGCTGACGCAGCACGACCTTAGCTGGTACGACGAGGCCATATCGACGCAACTATGGATGTTCTGCGCGTGCTAGGATCGTGGGCTTTGGGACGTGGATTGTCGCAGCGACTGCGCCATTTGCCGGTTCTCGCCAGAACCTTTCCGAAGCACAACCTCTAACCAGTGTCGGTTGGGTGTAGGTCACGTGACCGATCGCGTCGGCGCTTCAAACGCGGTGGTCGCGTCGTGTCTCGTCGCCGGCGTGACGTGCCTCCTGCTGAGCATTCTGCTGACGTCCGACGGCTTGTCCAAAGCCGTGCTCCTCTACAGCTATGGTCTTCTCTCGGCGTTGCAAAGTACCTCGACCTGCGCGCTGGCCAAGGTGGGCGCGACGCGGTACGAGCGACATGAGCGGGGTCGACTCGCAGGTGCGCCACTGCAGAGGCTGTGTGTACATTGAATTCTCTAGGGTTGATTGGTGCGATTGGACTGTGCACCGAGTACGTCCTCGCCACCGCCCCGCTGCAACGTCTCGTCAGTTCTGCCAACAGGGCGTCGTGCCTTCTCTCGGCCGCGAGTCTTTTCTTTGTTTTCCTCGCGACAATCGCGCGGCTCGGCCGCTGCGATGCGCCGCCACCAACCGCCGACGAGCCGCTGCAAGGCGCTTTGACACCCGCACTCGGCGTCAACGGCCTTGGCGAGGTCCTCCGACTCGAGTCGTTGCGTGGCGTTGCACCAGCGGTGGTATGTCTTTTCTACGCCAGCGATGCACTACGGACCCAACTGCCAATATACCTGCCATCCACTACGGTCGGCTGGAAGGATGCGTGGAGGCTGGGCAGTGTCATCGGTGCCATGGCGCTTGGTGCCCTCAGTGACGTTGCGTTTGAATCGCAGCGCGCGCCAACGATCGTGCTTCTCTTCCTCGTCCAAGCGGTTGGGATCTACCTCGTGTGTGCGCTGGCACCGCACGTGACGTACACTGCGTGGCTCGTCACTGGCGCCAGCGCGCTTCTCCACGGCAACATCGTTCTGCTGTGGCTAACGTGGCCCATGGACATGCCGCCGGAAATGGCTGCCAGCGCCAGTGGAGTCCTCACCACTCTGGGGTGCATCGGAGCTGGGATCGCATCGATGGTGGTCCATTGCTTGGCGGATACGCACATGTGCCTCGTCGCGCTGCTCGCAGCGTGCCTCGCGGGCAGCGGCAGCATGCTCTGCGTCTACCTCGTCGCGCTCTACCCACGTCACCAAACAGATGAAACCCTGCCTCTCTATCGACGTCGTCGTAATGACGTGGGCTCCGTCCATGTATCCCGCCGCGCATCATTTTAGGGTCTTGCCACACCACATAAATTTACTAGTATCTCCTACCGTAAATCACAACATACTAGTTCAAGCACAGTCCAAATGATCACTTTGGAGCAAAATACTTCTTCGCGTGAAGTGGTGCATTTTCATTTATAGAAGCATGCGCAAGAGGCAAATGGACCCACTCTTCATGATATCGGCCACTCCGTCCTCGGAGGGTTAAAAGTATCTCTTTTCCTCGCGCGAGCCAAAGCTCATACTATGTCAATTACTGTTGTCAATATTACCCAGCACAATCCATGGCATGCGGAGGTGGGTGAAAGCTGCCATTCGCTACCGAGACCAGACTCGCTCATGCAGTTGTACGACCGCTCCTCACGACCTTTGATGAAGGCGTCTCCTGATTGTTCTGTGCACACAACATCTAATAACCAGAAGCGGTTGCTATTGTAGCGAATAAGACACGTAATTTAGCTCTGCAAAAAAGAATCCCACGAATCCAGTTGTCACAAAAAGGCCATTTAATTACGACATCGAAACAATTATGAAAAGTTCCGTCCATCGCGTGTCCTCGTCAAACGACAATGCTAAAGTCGAGTGGCGCGAGCGTCGACAGCCACGTCATGTCGCTGTCGCTGCCGTCCAGCAGGTCCGCGCATACCGCCCAGTCGGCCGCGTCCACGCTCATGTCCTCTTCCTCGTGCTTGATCGCATCCGATCCAAAGAGGTCCTCGAGGAGGTCGAGCGACGGAAGCTCCATCACCGAGAGACTCTCGACTATCATCAGTGG